AAGAACATGAAAACATCAGGGAAATAAGACTCTCTATGAGGCAATTACAGTGCCTTACTCTATTTACTTTAAGCAGAAGTAATTAAACTGCCTTTGGGACCTAATTATTTGGTTGAACAAGCATATAGACACATGGACTTTGTTTTCTCATTTATTTTTCCTATTAAGGTATAGCTTATGCTTACTAGTCTGTGGGATGGATTCTTACTTTAGATAAATGTATATGATCACAAAATCAGTACCAAGTTCAACCCGAATACAATAGTTCAAAGAACACATATGTTTATTTGAGTACTTTGCTCCTTTTGATTATTAAATAGTATCTAATATGTGAATCTACCCAGATTATTTACTGATCAATGAATATGTATATAATTTTGGTTAATTAAAGCTATTCTTTGGAACTAAAATGCACATACATAGTACATACATAGTACATTTTATTACTCTTATCCCCTAACCCTTCTTTCTCCCACATCAAGTCCCATCCTCCCACCAAGTTATTATCCTAAACTTATTTATTTTTGGCTTATTTTATGACACATGAACATTAACCATGATTATCTATGCAATCATAGATTTGGAGCATCCAGTGGAGCATGGTGAGTTAACCAGCAATAAAACCATTGAAGAAACTGATGGCCATCCTCCAGTATCCAAGTTAAGAGTTACCAATATTTTTATGTAAATATTGACATGCATTTTGTGTGAATAAATACACAGAAGCAGGATAATCAGCAACCTTGATAGTATTTTATTAACACTTTAAAATATTGCCAAATGCTGTTTTTAAGGTGTTATATCAGATTGGGTTTCCCTCCTATCATTTCTAACTCATCCTGATATATAAAAGCTAGAAAAGATGTATTTATGACAGAATTAGGACATTGAGAAAAGGCTTTGAAGAGCATGTGGATTTTAAACATTTTCATAAATATGTTTTTCAATTTATTTCCTAGATAAGAACCAAATAAAACAAAATAAAACATAATCTTCTTCCTAGAATCTTCAAAGATTACTGAAGAAAAATTCATTATTCATACTGGAAAACGTAAACATTATTTATATAGACATATATATTCAATGAAAGTTACGATAGAGACAAAAAAATATGAAGAAAAGCAAATTTTTTTCTAAATTCTTTCTTCTTTCATTCCCATACAAGACGGCTTTTGACATGAGACAGAAACTCTGAATATTTTTTTAACAACATTCTTGGATGTAGAGAAGGACAGAGTTATTGTCCAACACCAAAGCCATCTCTCTATATATAGAGAGATATATTATCTATATATAATATATATATATTAATATTATATTATATATATATTATCTATATATAATGTATATGTTTTTATCACCTACCCTTACAAGTCATATTCCTTTTTATTAATAATCCTTATTGTATAGTTATTTTTGCTTTTGTCAGCACCCAAACATCCAGGGTCTCTTGAATTTTTGAAGATGAGTATTTTCCTGTAAAGACAAGAGCAGAACCCTGCAGCAACCCTATATGGTTTCCTAACCACCTGTATGGTTGTCACCATTGTGGATGAGCTGTCATTCCTCTTTATCAAGAGAGTTCTTTTTCAAAGTGAATTTTTATCAATTTTGATGGTATCCATAGTTTTTCTTCTCCTGTGGAAACAGGATCAAAACCCCATCCCCAATGCAGCACATCTCCTGACTTTCATTGTGAGGTCAGCACATCCTTGTAATACGCCAGCTGATTTAATTCAGAAGACCTTTCTATTATCCAATGTCTCTCTGCTGCTGTTGTCCCTTCCTCATTAGCATTAAGAAAATTCAAGGTTAATAAACCATTATGTAATCTATTTCTGGAGGAATTTCCACGCATTTCTGTTTGTTTAAAATAGGGTTTACAAGAGACTTGATCCTAGAGGGGATCCCAAGTCCAAGGAGAGATCCCCAGTTTGTTCTCTGGACAGAGGAGAGAGTGCCTGAACCGGCCTTGGCCCATAACTATACTGATGAATATTTTGCATATTACCATACAACCTTCATCTGGCGATGGATGGAGATAGAGACAGAGACCCACATTGGAACACTGGACTTAACTCCCTAGGTCCAAACGAGAAGCAGAAGGAAAGAGAATGTGAGCAAGAAAGGCAAGATCAGAGGGAACCTTCACCCATTGATAGATGGAGATTAAGACAGAGACCCACATTGGAGCACTGGACTGAGCCCCCAAGGTCTAAAGGAGGAGCAGAAGGACAGAGAACATGAACAAGGCAGGACCGTAAGGAGTGCATTCACCCACTGATACAAAGGGACTGATCAAACGAGAGTTCACCAAGGCCAGTTGGACTGGGACTGAACGAGCACGTGATCCAACCAGATTCTCTGAATGTGGCCAGATTCTCTGAATGTGGCTGGCACGGGGATTTTCTGAGAAGTCATTGACAATGGCACTGGGACTTGTTTCCTCTGCATATACTGGATTTTTGGGATCCAGTCTGTTTGGATGCTCACCTTCCTGGACCTGGAGAGAGGGGGGAGGAACTTGAACTTCCCACAGGGCAGGAAACCCTGACAGCTCTGGGGGATGGAGAGGGAGAAGTAGAGGTAGTAGGGGGAGTGGAAGGGTGTTGGGAGGAGGGGTGGAAATGGAAAATTTTATAAATTAATAAACTGTTATAAATTAAAAAATAAATTGTTCACTTAGCCTTGAAAAAAATAAAATATACTTTATTGTTTCATTTGATCTTTTTATAACTGCCTGACCTGTATAATTGTATGGTATACCTGCAATATGCTTAATATTATAATAAGCAAAAAATGAAACTGCTTCGATTTTCTTAGAGAATGCAAGAAGTTTTCTTTATAAGGTTAAGACTATAACTTTTGTGATAATAACTATTAATTTCTCCAAAAAATAGCACAAGCTCTTTGCCATTGTTCACTGTCTTTCCATAAATCTTATTTCTTCAGTAATGGAAGGCACCATAATCTCTGCTGAGTCTATACCTGCTAGTTAAGAAAGTCTCAATATAACTTTTATAATTAATCCACAGACTTTTCCATAAAGTTTTTAATATTTTACTTGATTCATGTATTTAAAACAATCCATTCTAAGATAATATCATCCCTCTGCATTAAAATTCCTTTAGGAGAAATTCTGGAAGGAATTATGAGTAGAACACAATTAGGATTTGGATTCTCCCTATCCACATGTGCCTCCTGTAATTTTTCCTCAACAATTGTCAGTTCTTTTATGCTTCAGCTGTTAATTCTCTGGGACTATTCAAGACTTGATCACCATCAAAGTTTTTTATAAATCAATTATTAGATTAGGTGTTATCCCAATAGCCATTTGTAGTCTGGAAATGTCTCCTAACAATCTTTGAAAGTCAAAAAGAGTCTGCAACTAGTCTCTCATAATTTGTGACTTTTGTGTTCTAATTTTCTGCAAACCATTTTATAACCTAGGTAATTGCCAGAATCTCCTCTCTGTATTCTTTTCAGGAACAATTTGCAATCCACATTTTGGCAAAACTTTATTTCCTCAAACATTCTTTCTGAAGTATGTATGGTTGAATAAGATAGCAAAATGCCATCCATGTAATAGTAAATTATAAACTTAGGATGTAGCTTACATATTGTTTCTAATGGCTGACTTACAAAGTATTGGCACATGTGTGGCTATTGAGCATTCTTTGTGAGAGGATGGTCCATTGATATCTCCTAGTAGGTTGAGAATTATTATAAGTAGGCACTGTGAAGGCAAATTTTTCTCTATTGTTTTCTTGTAAAGATGTAGTGAAGAAACAATTTTTCAAAACAAAGAGACCATCCTTTTGTTAATAGAGAAGGCAGAGGAATACCAGATTGTAGAGAGCCCATAAGTAGAATTAACTTATAGACAACTCTTCATCTACTATCATTCTTCATTTACCAGATTTTTTTAAAAAAACAAATACAGGAGAATTCCAAGGGCTGGTTGATTCTTCAATACGGTGAACATCTATTTGCTCTTATACCAGCTGTTCTAAAGTCTGAAGCTTTTCTTTAATTAGAAGCCATTGCTTAACCCATATTGGTTTCTCAGTTAACCATTTTATAGGTAGGGCTATTGATATCTCTAAAGGTTTTCTAGTTGTTTCGTGTTCTTGTAAAACCTGAATGGCTGGTGACCTTTATTTATAGTAATTTATAATATCCTTCCCAGAATTATGAGTAGTATGATAATTATGTCTGCACCTGTGTCTATCAAACCAACAATTACAATACCATTTATAAGCACTCTTAGCTTTGGTCTTTAATTATTTATAAAAGTCTGCCATAATATATGTTTCCTATTTCTTATTGGAATTTTTGATTCATCCTTCATGTTTGTACCATCATCTAGAACAGTATGGACTTTTACAGAAGGCTCTGGATTTTTTAATTTTCCTGATGGGGCATGTCTTCCACAGTGACTGGGAATGACTTGGCCATTTTTAGCTTGCTGGCCTACCTGAGGCCCCTCAAGGAGTTTTCCAATGGTATCAGGTGGCTTCGTCTGTCTTTTGTTGATCTACATTCATTGGTCCAATGTCAGCCTTTGCCACACCTTCTACAAATATCTGAAGACTGAGTCCTCCTATACTTGTCATTCCCGGAGGAGATATTATTCCTAGGAAATCCTTGTATACAATCCCTTCTCAGATGTCCTATTCTACCACAATTAAAGCATTTGTCATTCTCCTCATTCCTTTGGAAATTGCTTCTCATACCCAAGATTCAGTATTATAGTCAAATGTATCAAATGTTCATTGTATTCAGGATTCATTCACCCACAGGTGCTGATCTAATCTCTAAAAGCCCAAGTATCTTTTTGCATTCTAAGTTGGCATTTTCAAAAGCCAGAGATTCAGTAAATACTCATTTAGCATCTAGGTGTGTTATTCCTGTTTGTACAGCCTTAGTTAATCTTCATTAAAAAAGTCACTAAAGAGTTTCCTCTGGCTCTGTTTAACCCTGGTATATGATTCAATTTATTTTCCTAGTTCTTGAATCTTGTCCCAAGCATTTAAGGCTGCTTAGTGGCATAGGGATAAGACTTGCTCATTGTAAAGAGCTTGAACCTGTTGGTCAACATAAGTACCCTCAACAAGAACTTGATGTTGAGAAGTCTCAAGTTCGTTTACTTTTCCCTGTTATAAAAATTTAGCTTCTGGGAGTAGGGGAGGATTGGGGAAAGATCGGGGGACTAGGAAGGGGGGAGGGAGGAAGGATGGATATGGGATCAGGCAAGTATATACCTCAACTAAGGGAATCATTTTAGGATTTACAAGAGACTTGATTATAAAGGGGATCCCCGGTCCAAGGAAAGATCCCCAGATGGTTCTCTGGACAGAGGAGAGGGTGCCTGAACTGGCCTTGGCCCACTACCATACTGATGAATATTTTGCATGTCACCATAGAACCCTCATCTGGCGATGGATGGAGATGGAGGCGGAGAACCACGTTGGAACACTGGACCTAGCTCCCTAGGTCCAAATGAGAGGCAGAAGGAAAGAGATCGTGAGCAAAGAAGGCAAGGGCACAGGAAACCTCCATCTGATGTTGGATGGCAATACAGATGGAGACCCATATTGGAACACCGAACTGAGCACTCCACAGTCCAAATGAGGAACAGAATGATGAAGAAAATAAAAAAAGTAATCAGGACTGCGAGGAATGTGAGCACCCACTGATACAAGGGGACTGATATAATGAGAGTTCACCAAGGCCTGTTGGACTGGGACTGAACGAGGACGTGATCTAACCAGATTCTCTGAATGTGGCTGGCCTGGAGCCTTTTTGAAAAGCCATTGACAATGACACTGGGACTTGCTTCCTCTGCATATACTGGATTTTGGCGCTCCAGTCTGTTTGGACTCTCACCTTCCCTGGACCTGGAGGGAGGGGGAAGAAACTTGAACTTCCCACAGGGCAGGAAACCCTGACTGCTCTAGGGGATGGAGAGGGAGGAGGAGAGGGAGTGGGGGGAGTGGGAGGGTGTTGGGAGGAGGGGCTGAAATGGAAACTTTTATAATTTAATAAAAAAAGAAATATAGAATAAATAAAAAAATATGAAAAAAAATTAGCTTCTTCTCTGAACTGACATTTAAACATCAACTGAGGCTTAGCATCCATGACTGCTAAAACTAACTTTTCATGTGCTGACAGCCTAATGCTAGAATCCCACGTCTTTATTGACTCCCTAACAAATGCAGAATGCAAGTCATAAGTTATGACAGCTTGTTTAATTTCCTTTAGGTCATTCATTTCTATAGGTATACATCTACCTTCTTTGGATCATTTTGGGCCTTTAAAACTTGATGGTTTGTCAGGCTAGGAAGCTATAACCCTGGGTAAGTCATCTCTGACAGCTACTGGTGATGTTGAATCCTATTCTTGCACCTTCTTTCCCTGTTCTTCAGCTCCAATAATTTCCTCAATCATTTTAAATATTTTTAATATAGTCTTTTGTAAAGCCTTAATCTCCTTAACTATATAAGTTTCTAGTGATTTCATTGAGACATCTTGCCCTAGTCCTCATTCTGTACATGGGATTCAAAGGTCTGAAGTTTCTCATTTAAAGATAACACCTTGGAGAGCACAGCCCTCCCCTCCAGCTTCTGTGACAGGGTCTTTGGCATTCCACTGGACTCTTCCCTGCCCCAACAGTCGCCCTTTTGTCTCCTGTGTCCTTGGAATACCAACTATCCCTATTTCAGTGCTGAGGAGTACTACCCAGAGAGGTGAGTGTGTGCTATCCTGGGTGAACTGTCTGGTAAGAGAGCACACCGCCCCAGCTTCTGTGGCAGGGTCTTTGGTGTTCCACTGGACTCTTCCCTGCCCCCACAGTCACCGTTTTGTCTCCTGTGTCCTTGGAATACCAGCTATCCCTACTTCAGTGCTGAGGAGTTCCATCCAGAGGGCTGTCCCTATTTCAGTGTTGAGGAGTTCCACACAGAGGGTGCTGAGGAATTCCATCCAGAGGGCCATTCCTGTGTCTGTGCTGAGGAGTTCCATACAAAGGGTGCTGAGGAGCACCATCTAGAGGGACAGGAACAGTTCCTGCTCCTGCACTGAAGAGATCCACCTAGAGAATCAGTAACAGCAAATACTGAACCAAGACACCAAGACTCTCCTGGCTCATTTGAAGGAAGAGATGGGCAGGCACCAATGCAAGAATTCCTCCAACAACCTGAAAGGCAACATGACCTCACCAGATTCCAGGGATCATGAAACTAGAAGAATTGGACACCCTACTCCAGAAGAAATAGAAGAAATCAACTCTAAGCAGAACTATATGAAAATAATAGAGGAACTTAAACAGGAGATGAAAATCTGCCATAAAGAAATGGAAGAGAAGTATAACAAAAAGATTGAAGAAATGAGTAAAGAAATGGAAGAGAAGTATAACAAAAAGTTTGAAGAACTAAGTAAACCTGTAAATGACACTCTGGAAAACCAAGAAAAAACAATCATACAGGTAATGGAAACAGTTAAAGATCTGAAAACTGAAATGGAGGCAATGAAGAAAACACAAACCGAGGGCTGCCTGGATATGGAAAAATCTATGTAAATGAACAGAGACTTCAGAAACAAGCATAACCAATAGAATACAAGAGATAGAAGAATGAATCTCAGATTCTGAAGACGCCATAGAGAAAATAAATGCTCTGACCAAAGAAAACAGCAAATCCAACAAATTCTCATAACAAAACATTCAGGAAATCTGGGACACAAAAAAAAAA